AGCAACTAATTTGACATGGGGAACAACTCCATTATTTACATGGCCTGGAAAAATTGAAGAGGTAAAGGGGCTTAAGACCTGCAAGCTGCAGAATAGCATTGTGTTAACCATCAGAATTTAAGTGTTTTAAGACGCAAATTTCTTTTATCATTTAATGCTTGATTTTAATTCAGTGATAAGAGACTTTCTGCATAATCCAAAGTTCAGAAGCTTAATATGATTTGCCTGGCTAGATTTTGTTGTTTCAGTTTGTTTAAAATCATAGACTTCTTACAGGTTTGTTTGTGGGTTTTGGTGATGGGTTTGTTTATATCATTTATATGAATATACATACACACATATATATATTAGGTGATTTTTCTTCTATCTCTTTTTGGCAGGATTAAAATTAATAGTTCAGCTGGCAAAAGTTAAATTAGTAATCAAAAAGGCAGTCCATATCTGCAGCTTGAAATGCACATCCCAATTCTATTGACCCTTCCTTCAAAGGCAGCAGCAGTAATTGAAGAGTCTTGAGCAAAGAAAAAAAAAAAAAAAAAAAAAAAACAGCCTAAAAAGACCAGAAAAAACATCAGGCTGAATAAAAGCAATTAATGTCAAGATGATGGTACTAAACTTCTGTGAGAATTTAAGTCACTATTATACATATTAAAACTAAAGATAACTGTACCACATGAATCAGATACGCCAGCTGAATGCAAACTGATCTAAATCACCCTGTTCTATTGGCTTTGTACTGACATTTTCATAGTTGTAAGAAACAAGATACAGCACTAGGTGGTAAGTCAAAATGTAATTTTGAATCTTTATAAATAGGGATTCTGTACTGATGGAAAGAGTTGCTTGGAGAAACTACAATGGATTTGAGAACTCTTCATACAATGGAGATAATGTTGAAATGAGTGGGCATGTGCAGACAAACTGCTTGAAATTAGGGCTGTAAGTGCTTACATAACACTGAAGACTCCGTTAAGCAACTTACATAAGGAAATTCTGTGAGGGCTTTAAAAAGCAAGAGGTTTCAGCAAGAAACCTTAATGGTAGAACTCTCAAAAAAAAGTTCATATTCAATTACTAAGTGTTCCTATAGTAGTAATAAATTACTATTTACCGTTCAAGACCAAATCAAGAATTTCTCAGAGTATGCATGGTTTTCTCCAAGAGAAATCTAAAAGCACAAACCACCACACATGGAAATAATTGGACTTATTTGATATTAGAGATTTACTGCACAAATGACAATTATTTTTAACATTAACAGAAGGCAAATTACCTCCACTTCCTACTTGCATTTTACTGCTACTATTACTTTGCAATAGCATATAGAACTGAACACACATCATTATCATGAACACTGTATCGTGAACAATAGCATTCCCTAAGCATAGAATTTTGGAGGAATAATCATAGAGTGAAATGAATCCATTCCTGGGACCTAACCCTTGCTTTCATCCTATACTTAAAAAGCCTGGCTTTGCCACCAGGCTGTGCTAACATTCAAACTAAAAAATGATCAGTGTTTAAAAAAAAAAGTTTGAAGATGCGTCAGGATTCAAATAAAGCAGATGCCTTTTCCAAGTATGAGGAGAAAAAAATTCTGTCATACTGTGCTACAGGTAACCTAAGAAACAATTAAAATTTGAATAGATTTTAGGCCCCAGAAGTATTTTCTAGCCAGGTGAAGAGCATGCACCAAACAGCTTCATTTATGTTGCCAAATCTACGTGACAACTGTAAAACCTCCATAAACCAGCTAATTTACGAATAATATTGTCCTATTTTCTTATGCTTGGTGTTTTGAACACAGAATGGCCTTCCTTCACTCTGAAAGTAATAGAGCATTAAAATAAAACATTTAAAAGTGTTAATTTGCTTAAAAATCTCATGTTCATTTCTAAAATATTTACTGAGCTATTATTATTATTTTCTGAAGTATTTACAGTCCCTGTATTTTATCTAAAGCCAATTGCAGGAGAAGTCGTATATCCCACATAGTGTTAGAAGGCGTAACGACATACTCAGAGAAGATTATTACAACAGAATGAAATTATAAAAACACTCAGTTGAAATAAACAACGTTGCTTTTTTTAAAAATGTGATGAAAATATTGTTACACATTTCAAAACTCAACAGGACTGCAATGCTGGTTACTCATTTTCTGTTCACAGCGCAGCGATACTCAGGATTTGCAATACCTGTATCGATACTCACAGTTACAATCTGACCATTTTTTTAACTGAGGATCTCACATAATTTCATTTTCTCAATGAAAACTCAAGACGGGTCTCATGAATTTTAGTGAGTAAAGCATTTGCATAAAAGATTGTGTCAATAGGACCTCGGTTTATCACACGTTCCTTTGAAGGTAGCACACATCATCTATGCTAACAAAGTGAACCAAATAGTCTTTACATTAATTTTTCATTTATCAAGCTTTTATTAAACTAAATGGCACTGCAAAGCAGTTGATAATTAATAAATCCATACTGCCCAATACGTAATTATACACATTTTTATATCTTCATTCACTAATGATGCTTAATTCATGATCAAAAAGTATTGATTCATCCACTTAACATTAGAAGTCATTCTGCCTCTACAAGTGGAATCTTGCCTTTAAGAAGACATTAATTCTGATCACTCAGCACACAGTAAACACCGAATGGATTCTTCATGTCTGGCTAGTGGCAGAGGAAGAAAAAAAACAACAAACAACCATGCTTGGATTTACAGCACTAATGTGCTATCACTGTGGTGAATTGTTATGACAACTTCTGCCATTGACTTCACATGATGAAAATGCTTGCGAATCTTCAAGTTTGATATGCTTTTATTCATAGAAGCTTACAAAATAAATATGTTTCACAACAATACAAAAAGCTTCATGTTAAAATTGTCTGTCATCCAGACTCATCTGACATGGCCAACACTAAGAAATGGCAAGTTTAAAAGGACAGACAAATGGAATTTTTCAATGAAATTGAAAGGTACCAGAGTTTTCCTCAAACTATTATGATCAGAAGGCAAGAACAGAGGGGAAAAAAAAAGAGTAGAGGATGCAACAGAAGAACAAATGAACTCAAAACACCCTCAAATCTGCATTCCATCTTTCTCCTTTAATTCTGTGATGAAATACCATAACAAATGCAGGAAACAAAAACAAAATAACGTGGAATAAATGTATACTGTCTACCTTTAAAAACAGGAATAGGGTTTTGTTAGTGAAACAGAAAGAATGCTGATGAAAACGTAAAGTGAATAGCTTCCTATTGCCTACAATTATAATAACCTATAGAAAGGAATGTGGGTACTACAAAGGGAAAAGCACATTACAGAAATGATTAACCATATATTCTATATCTACAGTGTATCTACTACGAGGAATAGAAGCATGATCTTATACTTAGTGTTTGTGGATTTTAGCACCATTGTCAAACACAGCATATTCCATATTTTCTTGATAGACAAAAATGTTTTAAGTCATTTTAGTTCAAAAATGGCTGCACATGGAGCTGTTCGAAAGTTAAATAAATGTAGTTGCTTGTTAAGGGCCGAAAAAAAAATTTAAGCCTTTTAACAGTACCTGATCAGATACTAACTGAAACTGAAAGGTCAATCTGCATTATGAACTTAAAGAGTTTATACAGATACAACACTACACCAAGATTTTAAAGAACACGAGCTAAAAATACAATAAATATTAAATGTCCTCATTTTTAGATTAAAAGTTCTCCTCAACAGAAGCTATTTAATGGCCTTGAAACTATTGAAAGACCTCAACTATTCATGTTCTTAATAGCTCTGTATTGCAGCATAGTTAAGGACAGGTTTCACAATCCTGGGTACATAACAATGAAAAGGCATAATACTGAGGATCTCCCATGCCTTTAAGTATTAAGTTAGTTGCTTCATTTTCTGCAGACAGTATAAACTGTTTATGTGAACTGCTACCTTTACTGTCCATTACATAATCTCACAAGTATACAAGCCTTTCAAAATAAGTGCTACAAGCTGAAGCTCTTAGCAAACAAAAACAAACAAGTGTTATTCAAAACCAGAAATCACCTCCAAAACAAGCAGAAATTTAACATATGGGTTGAATGACTGGTTTCTGTAGTCAGAGAGCATCTCAACATTTTTCCATTTCCACACCACATTTTAAGGATCACAATAAATGCCAGAAAATCACAATCTTAAAAACTTCAACATATTTCCCTCAGTCTTTCACAATGCCTTCTTCAGCAATTGCTATAAAAATGAGCAGCCTACAATATAGAACTTTATTATTGGCTGCACATTTAAATTAGTCTAGATGCAGTCTTTGATATATGCCTAATACTCAAATCCGCTTCCTCATCCCTTTCTGCCCAAATTATGTAGACTTACGCCAATTTCTCAAGTTTTCGCAATACTTCACTAGCTTATTACCCAGCTGTGCAGCTGAGCAAGAAGATAACCACATTCATTCCTTTTATCTGTAATGATGTAATACATCCCAGCACTGGGTTGAGATGATTGGGGAATAATGGGATTGTAAAAACTGCAGAGATGACAAACAACAGTGCAGCCTTCTTCTCCCAATACAGTCAATTGCATACATACAGCATAGGGTAAAAATAATAAAATATGCCCTAATTCTGCTCTTTGAATGAAGTTAATGTTTTTCATAAGCAGCAGCTGTTTCTACACAAAAACACGATCATCACAATGCAGCAACCAGACAAAATACCCGCAATCTAGACTACAAGTAAAAAAAAACACATCAGAGTTTACTTTCAAATGAAAGCAAAAAAACCCACACCTCTCAAAACCAACTCATTTTAATCGAGGAGTCTCCAAGCAGTGCAGTGCAATGCAAAGAGTCATCAGGGACCAGTATGCAATACAAAAATAGATCTTAGACCAAAGGATGCACTGTTCTGCTTTTCTATTTAAAAAATTAAATCTGCCTCCATCTTCCCTTTTACAACCTTCTTTATTACAAGCAGAAAGATCCTTACCTTCTGCAGGAGCTGGGAACCCGAGTACTTGGCAGCAATAGATTTGATCTCCCCACCAAACGCTGAGGCCCAGAGCTTCACACTGTGAGGGAGAAAAAAAAAAGAGGCAGGAAGAAATGTAATACACATGTCATAGCAAGCAACACAGACTGTAGCTGCTTCAGCTGCACTCATAAGGATTCAAGCAATTTTGCATTGAGGAGCTCACAAAGGAACCTAGGCACAGCAAAAGATTAGCAAAGCTGTTCAAGTACAAGCACAAGCTAGATGCTCTGCCAAGGTGAGGCCTCTGACTCCAAACCACCCAAGCTGCACTTTTTAAAATTTAAACAATCAACTTGCCCAGAAACACACTTTGACACAATGTGTTTGCACACGAATGAAAGGAGCAGATAAAACAGCAGAATGGTTCTGAATGGTAACTTCTCACATAACAATGAGTTAACATAACAATGTGAACTTCGGTAAATAGAAGTGTTTAAAATAAAGCTCTGCTACGGTACACTCCATCAACACATGCACTAGAATAAATTTAAAGTGGTGCCCAATTTCAGAAACAGATGACAGTGGAGCAAAGGTGCCCTGAACAGCTAAGTATCTGCAGTAAGAAATAGGAACTTGAGCAGTCAACTCTCATCCTTGAGCACAGTCCTGAGAGAAATACCATGAAAACACTTACACAGACAGGGGGATCTGCTGCTCCGATCCAACCACATCCACTAAGGCTGTGTTAAAAGCTGTCCAGAAGATAAAGAAAAAACCCCCAAAAGTCCGAAGAAGATTCAGATTTTCTAGCATTGTGCTTGAAGAGATTTGGGGATATTCAGGTAAATCTGAATTTAGTAGCAGTAGGGGGTGGCTTCTCAAGCCAGCTTTAAGCCCCTCCACGAGAGCGACACTTGGAGAAATCACTGCTTCATCCTCATCCCTCCCAGGAGTGACCCTCTCTGTGTAATGGAAGGAGAGGACCAGAAGCTCTAATGACTTGAGAACTATTCCGTCCCTGGCAACAGGGACGCGTTTTCCAGCACTCCTGCAGCCACTCGCACGTAGTTCTTTACAACTCCGCAGTCAGCAGCGTGCTGGAGTTACTTCAGTGACCTACTACTGCTCCAAAGTGCCCTTAGCAGCAAGAAAGCAGACTATTGATTCCAACTGGGGAGGCTGTCTCCTCGCAATTACCGCTCACTTTGCAAATGGAAAGCTGCCTAGAGGTCTCCTTTCCCTCGCCGGTAACCTCCAGCCTTCATCCCAGACGGAGTCAACCAACGACCGGCTCAGCGAGCGGCAGCTGCAGCCTTTTAACGGGATAGCGCGGAGAGAGGCAGGCACAGGAGGAGCCGGACCGGCGGGAGGGAGCCTCCGGATGGCAAGAGCAGCCAAAGTCTGAAGGAGCTGAAAGTGGAGTTGAGCCCTTGCAGGGAGGAGAGGAGAGCAGAACGCCGCACGTTGCCGGGGGCTGAGCCAGGGCGGCTTGAAGGGGGAGGGGGGGGGAGGCTGTGCCCACCCGGCGGGGACGCGGCCAATTCAGGCGGGGCAGCGCCGCATGACGGGCGGGTGCAGGCCGGGCAGCGCGGCTGTGCTCGGCCCCCGCCCAGCCCTGGGCTGAAACCCCGCGCCCCGCCGGGAGCGGAGCGCCGAGCCCCGCCGAGACGGCAGTGCCGGCAGGCAGCGGGATGCCGGAGCGAGGCGGGCCCCGGTTCTAGGCGAGGCTCGCACATGGAACCGCGTCCCGCACGGCCCGTCCTTGTGCACGGCGGCACGTTCGCTGCTTCCTCCCACGCCGGAGCGCTGCAGCGAGGCACTATCCGAGAGATGGGGACTAGCGAAGGCTCGTGAATGAAAAGAAACGCAGCATAAGTGAATCAATGCGGGCTAACCGACTCGAGCCTGTGAATAAATTATTAATTTGCGCTCGCAGAAGAATCCCCTCGATCGAGCGAGCATAGGATGACAAGCTCCTCCACGGAGCGAGCGGCGTGGGGAGCAGGAGGGATTGGTCCAGGTATTTTTGTTGTTGTCGCGTTTTAAAGCCTTCCCTCCCTCCTTTCTCTTCTTCTCTCCCTCTGCTTCTTTCTCACCTTCCTCTCCACTAAACACACAGACTTAAGAATAGCACAATTGAACTTTAATGTAAATAAGCATGGCAAAACCTGGAGATGAGCCGAACGCGGGCTGAGTCATCCTTACATCACCCGTTGCTCCAGCATCCGCTCCAGGATTCTTGTTTCTTCCCATTCCTGTTAGAGTATTCCTCAAAATATTCACTCTGCCTCTGTATGCTGTACTCGTTTAACATTTTCTGTCTTTAGATACTTGTATTTTTTCCCCACATTACCATTTTTAAGAGCACTGAACAGTTTGCTTTAAAACATCAAAACCTCTGTTCAGCACCTGACTGATGAAAGCTATCTGCTTTCTCAAAAGAAGCTGGAAGTTTAAAGACAGAAAGACTGTCTTAGGTAAACTGCTGTACAGAACAAGAGTCGGATAGCATGTTGCAGCTTTCAGCACACGCTGCCCATCTCTCAGGGACAAAAAGTATTTGTTTCTCCCCATACTAATGCCTTCCTATGAAGGAAGTTGTCAGAAGGGATGCTGGGGTTATTTTGTCTATTATTCAACCATTTTGAAAGTGCTCAGAGCTGTGCTGTGGATTTTCTGAACAGCGTTTTAAATATGCTGCCATGTCACCAGGTGTTCAGCCTACCTACAGGCAGAAATGTAAAAATGCACATGGCTGACTAACCATACATAATGAATTACGTGCTCCTTTGAACGTGTTATATAAGCGATACTATCTTTTCAGGAGGATGAAATAGGAGCAGTGGGCTGCCTCACCACTTGTGCTGTTCAGCTTTTTTTTTTTTTTCTTAATATATTTTCAAAACTATGTCAGGAGAGAAATGTGTAATGCTAACTTGTGAGACACCAAGTTCTCTTACATTAAGATAACTCTTTATCTGCCTCAGGTCAGTATACAGCTCACTGATGATGAGCAAGAGCTAACTTCATACTTCAAACAATTATTGGAAGCTCTAGAAACTTTCTGAAAGCACATATAGCGTGTCTGTGTTCAATAGCCAGAGAGATTTAACACACATTAGAACCCTCACTAATTATTGTCATCAAAACACAACAGGCACTTGTCCAACCTTGACAGTATTTGCATTTAGTGAACATTCAATATCATGTCAGATTCACAGTTTATACATTTGCCATGTACAACTGGTAAATTGCATTCCTTTCTATACTTTATATTAAAGATCTTATTTCTACTATCACTAATCTCAGGAGGAAAAAAAAAAAAAAAAACACTTGAAAAATACATTGATAGAATTCAGCATAAGAACAGCCCCCACACATAGCACTGACAGGCTTCTGTAGGCATTATACCACAGAGTACTTTCTGCATCTTTCACTGACACGCACTAGTAACTCCAGGCAGTTATTTGGTTCTTTTCAATAGTTCAGTAACTGAAAAGCCACCATATGCCACAGCAGAGGTTTAACACATGTATGTATAAGCCTCCAGCAGTGGCAGCATCTCCTGTCACAAAAGAAGAGGGCTCATATTGCATCCTGGCCTGACTACTACTGGCTACCTCAGGTATGCAGATCACTGCAGCCAGAATACCAGGTTCAAAGCTGACGTTACACCCTGCCCCTCCACCAAGTTGTCCTCACGAGTCAGATGTAGAAACTTCCCCTATCGTATACATGAGCAAGACCAAGGCATATCAACAGAAGAGGGGGGAAAAAAAAAAAAAAAAAAAAAAGTAAATGAATGCTGAAAGATTTTTAATTCTTTATAATGGGGTTGTAGCAGTTATTAGGCATAGCCTTGAGATATCATGGAACAAAGTCAGAAGAAAACTGAGTTTTGGAGAAGTATAATAATTAATTTCTATTTTGGAAGTAATATAGCTTTTCTATCATGTACTTGTGCTTTGTTTAGAGAAAATATTCTTCCTGATTCAGCAGTTAAGCGCAGGTCCCACTAGAAAAAAAATGTTAAAGGGTCAGTGTTTTTCAAAAACATTTCAAAGGTGTAATGTATAGATAATTGATCAAGCACGTGATTCCACCAAAACTGAAGTGGCATCTTAGCAGTGCGTGTAGGCAAGTTTAGTTGCCAGGGACCTCAGCCCCATATATGAACCTCATCCCCCACTCCCATTTTTAAAATGGGAAAATGTCACCTCATTTCACACTCTCTCTGTTGATCAAGTATCATTATATTAGTATTTCAGTAAATGGAGAAATCTGCTTTCTCCATGAAGGCAGAAAAAAACACGGATGCATGAAATACCAAGTGTTGTAATAGAAAGTCACAGGCATGGTCAGAGAACACTGATGAATCTCCAGAGCTTTTGCTATGGATCACATTCCAAGAAATAACCAGAGAATAAAAAATTGCAAAACAGGTCCAGTGTAAAGGATAACATGAGATTTGACTCAGACTGAAGTAGGGAACGCAGACTAAATGAAAGTCCTGTATTTAGATGCACAGAGTAACTTCCTCTGCCTACATCTAGATATATTTAAGCTGATAAAAGAGTGCAGAAATAGGGTCATATTTGTAGCATCAGAGCATAATTTGAGGTCTTTGATTACACATGTAGCAAGCACTAATAAAAATAATAATAATAAAAAAAAAAATCAATAGAGATGCATAGAGAGAGGATAACATATGTTGCAGGGGAGAAGAGTAGGAGGAAATGATATAATTAACACAAATGTTTATTGTATTTCTTTTTGGATTCTTTTTATCTACAATGAATTTTAACCAAAGAGGAAAATAAATGCAGAAGTGCTGAAAGTCTTACTGAAGATGCAAGTGATCTCTACTGAAAGTTATTAATAAAAAAGGAGGAGTGGGGGAGGAGGAAATGCATCAGTTTTGCTATCTTCAACATATATATGAAATTCAATTACTGCAAAACACAGACAAACAATCCCTAACTACACAGCATGTGATGGTGTTATTAGTTGCTCTGTGGTGTATTACACAGCGGTTCTAAACACCAAGCTTCAAATCTACCGACTTACTCACCACAGTGCATTTTTTTGTTTGGGCTAAGAGTTGAAAACGTGCCCCCAAAATTACACCTTTGAAATGTTTTTCAAAAATATTGACCCTTTAAGTAGAGAAAGTAGAAGAGATAGAAAAAAAAAAAAAAAAAAAGGGAAGTAGCCACCTATGCAATAAGCAATTAAATATGTTCTCTATTGAAAATCCTTCCAGCCTTTAACCTGTATGCACTTTTTCCCCTTATTTCTTAGCATATTTTATATACAAACAAAGAAAAAAATGAAGATAGGAGACATAGTGGAATAACAAAGGACATCTCAGCTTTATAAAGCACATCAAGAATGTCAGATAAAATGCAAGATCTGAACGCTCCAGATTGGGAAACAACCTCGTGGTGGAGGCATTCATCAAGTAGTGTTTGCATGCAGTGAGAATGCAGGTTTACTGGCTTCGAGTGAGCTGTACACAGAGAGCAAGAGACCCCTTATTAGACCTATTCTGTAGAGACTTCACAGATGTACGTGTCCTCTTTGAATTTTACAAAGGTCCCATGTGGATGAGTTTAAGTGTTTCATTGGTATGGGGATGCCTGCTTATTGACTATTTCCAACCCACTTACGACAAAGATTGAGGTCAAGTAATGTTACCCAGTGGATTAAATGAACACAATTCCACATTATGTGCACGAGCTAGTGCCTTGGGAAAATAAAAATGGTGCAAAAATTCTAAACCACATCAGTGTTTTGTAAGCAAGTTCATAATG